GCACCATATTGGTGACCTCTAGCTATAGAAGTGGTTCTCAATTAATTATATGTAAACAAAGTTACAGTGGTACCTCGGGTTAAGTACTTAATTCGTTCCGGAGGTCCGTTCTTAACCTGAAACTGTTCTTAACCTGAAGCACCACTTTAGCTAATGGGGCCTCCTGCTGCTGCCACGCCGCCAGAGCCCGATTTCTGTTCTCATCCTGAAGCAAAGTTCTTAACCTGAAGCACTATTTCTGGGTTAGCGGAGTCTGTAACCTGAAGCGTATGTAACCTGAAGCGTATGTAATCCGAGGTACCACTGTATTAAACTCTTTCTTCCCACCCTTCCTGAACCTTTTTGCTGGCAGCCTGTCATTGTGCTATTACCTTGCCCTGAATCACTTTCTACCAAAGATGATTCTGCTTCTCTCCCCCCCCCCTGCCACCAACACATGCACACAGATTTCTTTAGAATGTCACATTATTCTTCCTCTTTTTTCCCTAGCCCAGGCCCCCTCAGCCACGTGTTCATTAAATCCACTCCCATTAGATCCAAATTCAGTACTTTGTCAACTTGGCCAGACTTGTTTCCCCTCTGTCTGTTCGCAGGGATGGATGCATTTGCTAGCTCCTTTCTGACACTCTTGACTTCAGGAAGCCCCAGTTTCATTCCACTTTGAAGGAGAGCAATGTCATAACACAGATTAAAGGGATTTTTAATCCTCTTTAGAGACCATAAAACCACGTTTTGCCTACATCTGGCACTAAAAATAAACAAGCAGTCCACCCCAGGATTTTTTCAGTGCTCTCTCTCTGCAAGTCTGATTAATTCCTGCTGACTTTAATGGAATAAGTATAGCGGTTTGGTATAAAAACCTGCCGAGTCTCCCCTGCAGAAGCTGGTGGGGTGGGGGCTGCCCAAGGGACGTAGGAGCATGTTGCCCTTTTATGGAGGCTGCTGGGCGTCTTTTTAATTAATCATGCCCTACAAGCCCTCCTGTTATTTCTGCTTCTTTTCATCACACAGGCTGGTTGTGTTTGCTTGGGCTTAATGGGTGTGAAAATTATGCAACATGAGCTGGCTGCTTGGTTGCCGGGTCACTTGGGGTTGCCACTTGCTCGCTTCTAGCCTCCTTGAATGAAGGGTCTTTTCTCTTGCTCTCAGCTCTGAGAGCTGGCACGTGCTCCCCCATCCCAGTGAGCGTCAGGATCTGCCCCCTCACTTCCATCAATCTAGTTCCAAAGCTTTGCACCTAGTATAAAGGCAGGGTTACATCATCAAGATGCCCTTCAGCTGGAGATCCCTTTGCAAAATCACAACTGCCTCATCTGGGATAGAACAATGTTTCATTTGATCAGGAAGTTGTGTGTGTGGCTCCAGAACCTAAATTTCCCACCTGTTGCCTGAGGCCTTCTTCCTGTGTTGGCTGAAGAAGAGAGTCCTGATGAGCAAAAAATAATAATTTCCCTTCGTCAGTGAATCACTAGAGCGTAAATGCCATCTTTCTAATGCTGTAGGAGAAAGGGCATGATGCCCTTTGCACACTAGCGTGACTTTAAATCAGAATCTTTAGTGTGAATTTAAATGAGAGCCTTTGGCTTTTGGGTTTCCTGTTAGGGCATCTGGTTGGCCGCTGTGAGAACCGGATGCTGGACTAGATGGGCCTTTGGTGGTTCTTACATTCTTAAAACGATGTGGAGCCTTGCACAGATGGAGATGCTGGCTTACACATTTCATACACCTTGCTGGGCTGTAATACTGACATTCACATCTGAGGGTTGGTGTAGCTGTAGGCTGACTCTCTACGCTTCAAGGGAGATGGACTCCTTTTGTACTGTTTACAGTGCTGCACGCAGTCTGTTTTGATCCATTTGCGCATGCCCTGTCTTGCCAGCTGGCAAACCTTTCTGAACCTGGCAGTCCTGTTTGGTGCTTGTGCCCTGGGAGAGGAAGGGAAGGCAGAAGAGTGTGCAAGGAAACAGTACAAGTGCAAGTTGTGTGCGTTAGAACGCCTTAACTGCACTATAGCCTTTGCACACACCTGGGTTGCTTCATAATATGGTGGTGCTACACCTCTTTTTTTCTTTTCAACTTCAGGTGGGTTTTATTTAAAAAGCCACACAATTCAGCACGCTCAACAGCACAGTCTAATGAGATACATAAACCTATTAAAGAAACAATACAGTCATACCTCGGGTTGAAGTTGCTTCAGGTTGAGCATTTTCAGGTTGTGCTCTGCGGCGACCCGGAAGTAACGGAACGCGTTACTTTCGGGTTTCACAGCTTGCGCACATGCAGACGGTCAAAATGTCGTCACGTGCATGCGCAGAAGTGGTGAATCGCGATGCGCAGACGCGTGTTGCGTTCGCTTCAGGATGCGAACGGGGCTCTGGAACGGATCCCATGCGTATCCAGCGGTACCACTGTAAAGTGACAAAATAAGTAAATGAAACCCCATCACAGTCGAAGTCCATTGGCTTCACGTTTTATTTACAGATTTTTAATACTGCCTATTAGCAATAAGTTCCCTGCCAGCAGGAAAGCAAGTGGGAAATTGGGCCCTTGTGTGGAGCATCATCATCAATCAACCATCAGTTTCTTGACCAATTTCTAGCCACTGTGTTCCGGGATCTCATTACATCTTCTGTCTGTTGATTCAATTCACACCCTTGTGACCCCCCCCCCGAAAGTCTAGGATAACGGGACAGGAACACTAGAACATGAGATCTAGTACCCTCCAATATAATTTGGCCAAAGGGCAGGTGAAAGGTCTCTGCTTTTAGCAGCACAAGATGCCACCCAGACAGGCCCTTGTGAGTTAGGATCTTCTTGACTCCTGGCAGCAACAGAGTTTCCAGCATGGCACCAAACTCTGGTGTGTGTGTGTGTGTGTGTGTGTGTGTGTGTGTGTGTATTGTGCCTGCCTGGTGGGGGGGCTGGTGGGGTGGTAAGCTTTTCACCCCAGGCTTTTCTGAGTGATTTTGCTCAGCTGTGTATTTCATCCTCCTTGCTGTGTCCTTTCTGCCCCCTAGTGGCAGCTGTTTTACTTGTGGGATTTTCTGGGAATAAAGTTCTGACCTTCCAGAATCTGTGCCCTCCTTCCGTGTTTTCCAGTGCTTTTTTCTAACCTCGCACTCACCCTTGCCTTTCCCTCTCTTTCCCCTACTGCCCCGTGATGGACATCCCGGTTGTGACAGTCTCCAACTATATCTGTTTCAAATGGAAGCATTTAGATCAACTAGTCCTCCAATGATTTATTTGCTTGGTGAATATAAAATACAGCAGTATCAGAGCTGTAATACTGAGCCATTACTTCAGCCATGGGGAACCTTTGGCTATTCAGACATTGCTGAACTACGACTCCCACCATCCCTAGTCATTGGCCACACTTGCAGGGGCTGATGGGAGTTGTGGTTCAGCAACATCTAAAGGGCCAAAGTCTCTCCATTTCTGTATTACTTGAAAGAGGTGCCATGGAATTGAAATGCAGTGTCACGTATTGTTCTTCCACTGCCCTGTTTGCCTGAAAAGCTTCTGTTTTGTCTAGAACATTGTACGTATTTGTGCCTGTTTGAAAACATTATCTTTGTTTTGTCTTTTTCGTTGATGTCCTTTTGCATTCATGTTTCCTGCCTCTGTAAAACCTTTGGTGGAGGGATGTATATATGTATGTGTGTGTTCATTTCAGGTGCTGGGTTCATATATATTCACTCTCTTCCACTGTTACTGATGCCATTAATAATTGTGTTACACGTTTACCATTTCCATCTTTTCTGCTATTCATCAATAAATGTTGCATGCATGTAACCTTTTGTGGCTTATTTTGTTCGTTTGCTTTTCCCCGCTTCAAATAGCAAAACCTAAGAATTTCATTCTGTGCGCCGCACATGGTCAAGGTTTCCTTCCTATTTTCCATTTTCTTTAAACTTTCATTTCTTTTATTGGGAGTGTTTGTTAGGCAGCCTTTCTCAACCTGTGGGTCCCCAGATGTTGTTGGACTACAACTCCCATCACCCCTAGCTAGCAAGGCCAGAGCTCAGGGATGATGGGAGTTGTAGTCCAACAAACATATGGGGACCCACAGGTTGAGAACCGCTGGTTTAGAGCATTTGTACTCCAATTCTTCACCCAAAAATGCTTCCAGGGTGGCATATGTGTGATTAGTTAAAACAGTCCTTGCCCGCAGGCTTACAATCTAAAAGACCTTGTCACACAAGGAAAAGGGGGGAGGGAGGGAAGAGGGGTGAAAGCAAACTCAAGCACCAAATTATTAAAGTTAAGCAGTAGTTCTTATAACTCCCAGAAAGAGCTTAGCAACATTTCCCAGAAGTGCACATGCATGCTATAAGTGGACACATTCTCCAGTTTGCTTTAGACATGCATCAACCTTCCCAGTCTTCTGTGCTCCACCAGATGCTTACCACCAATTTTGTCCTGCTTTAACACCACACAACAATCTGCTTTTTGCCCAGCTAAACTACAGAAACATGGAGTGTGGGATGGCAATGGGACCAGCAGTGGAAAGGGAAGCCCCCTGTTCTCTCAACCTGTGAGAACCGGGGGTTAATGGTTATGGGCTGGGAGGGTCAAGGCTAAGTTGGGTGTAGAAGGGGAATATTCCTGTAAATCATTGGTCTTCTGGTAGATCCCTGACTCTCTTATGTCTGCCCTAAAGCAGCATTGTCAGGAAGCTTTTATGGTAGCATCTTGAGTTTTGCTTTCCACAGCAAAGGATGGTGTTGGCTCTTGATGTGTTTGAGGGTTAATTGCTGGCAAGCCAGAAGCATTCTATCTCTTCCAAAGCAGATCCGTAGCCCCTTCTTACAGGTATGATGTATAGAGCCAGGCTGGATCTACACTGATCTGGAAAAGGCTATTAAAAAACACTATTAAAAAATACAGCTCCCAAGGCAATTTGCCACTGGTGACAGATTGCTGCTCTACAGCGCCCTCTGGTGTCACATTTTTATAATGCATTTTAAACGTCATAACTCACCAGTGTAGATTAGTCCCCAGTGTGGTATAATGGGTATAGTGTCAGACTAAGACTTTGGAGACCTGGGTTCAAATCCCCACTTAGCCATGAAATTCACAGGGTGACTTTGGGGGCCAGTCACTGCCTTTCTCAGCCTAACCTATGTAACAGGGTTCTTTCTGGGGATTAAATGAAGAGGGGGGAACCATGTATGCCACCTTGAGCTCCTTGGAGAAAAAGGTGGGATATAAGTACAATTAAATAAATCAATAAACAAGCAGAGAAGAGAGGGGTTGGCCTACTGATGTTTTGTGGGGAAAGTTGTGAGGCTCAGTGCTAGGGTAAACCCCATCCCTGTTTGGGTCCTCTCAACTTGTAGGGCTACCTGAACATTCATTCATTCATTCATTCATTCATTCATTCCATTTCATTTATATACCACCTTTACCTTCCAAGGAACTCAAGGTGGTGAACCTGGTTCTCCCTCCCATTTCATTCTCACAACAACCCTGTGAGGTAGGTTAGGCTAAGAGATGGTGACTGGCTCAAGGTCACCCAGTGAGCTTCATGGCTGAGTGGAGATTTGAATCCTGGTTTCCCAGGTCTTAATCCAACACTCTTAACCATTTCACCACACTGTCTCTAAAACAGTATGTGATCAAACTGATTAAGACTGTTCATTAAGATTGAACATAATTTACTTTTCTCTGAAAATTTGCTTTCACAATTCTGGGCATAGTGCCTGATTACCCTGGTTGCTTTGACACCAAAATATGTTGTTGGGCAAAATCACACAGAACGTAGCTTTCTCAAAAGTTGACCAACACAGATGCTAAATGCAACAGTTCTGTGCCACCTTTAAAGCGTAACTAATTTATTACAGTGTAAGCTTTTTGTGGACTGTAGTTTAACTCTGTAATAAATTTGTTAGGGTTGTATGCAGTGCTGGCCCTGCTCAGAGTAAAACCACTGAAATTAATGGACCTCAGTTAGTCATATCCATTAATTTCATTGGGTCTGCTCTGAGCAATACTAGCACTGCATACAAGAAGACTGGTGTTCTTACTGTGACAGACTAACACAGAGTGACCCCTCTGGAAGATGCAGAAGTCTCTCCCAATGAGGGCAACCTCTGGTGCCATACCTTGTCTGCTTGGAATGCTTCCTAATAGTTATATAGCACAAATATTTCCCTGCCTCAGTTCAGCTGTTACTTGCAAATTAAGCTGGAATTTAGCAGCAGCTGCTGTGATAATTTATTTGTACTGGAGAGAAGAAATATATAACATGCAGGCAATATTCCAGGATATGAAAAGGTTGCTGGACCCACCAGCTTTTTCTGGGTCTCTCGTAAGAATTACAAAGCTTACAAAACATGGCTTACTGTTTCTATGCAAGAGAGAATGTCTGGGACAGTTACTCCCTATAGAAATTTGAACATTATGCTGGTGGCCACAAGGTGGCTGTGTTGCATTTGTCTTTATCGTAGGGAATGCAGGATGGGGAGAGTATATTTGGTGCAATACTGTACATTGAAAGCAGTTACATACTGCTTTAAGGAATTGTGCTTCTCCCAATGAATCCTGGGAGCTGTATTTCATTGTTTGCTGCTGAGAGATGTTGGGAGACTCTCTATTCCTCTCACAGAACTACAACTCCCAGAATGGTTTAGCAACCAATCTCTCTTCCCAGGGAACTGTGGGAACGGTAGCTCTGTGAGGGGAACAGCGGTCCCCTAACAACTTTCAGCACCCTTAAGAAACTACTGCTCCCAAGATTCTTTGGGGGAAGCCACAACGGTTTAAAGTGGGATGCTGCTGCTTTTAAGTATTTCGTGGGGATGGGTCCTAAATCACATGATGTCTCCCAGATGTTTCGGACAGTAGCAGTTGCTCCCAACCCACACCCTGTAGGACCACTGTGCTGGTTTCCAGGAAGGGAGGAGGGAGGCTGTATAAGAAGGAAATTGCATGGCATAAGCTGCCTGGTGACCTCGCTGACCAAGAAGCCCTGGGAAGCATTCTTAGGGGCATTAGCTAATACATACCCTCAGTTTATTGGCTAAACCTGTCGGAATAGGATTACTCCGGAAGTTCCAAGGAGCTGAGACGCACTGTTTGGTGCCTGCAGAATTCTCTCTCTGTGAGAGAACCATCTTGCAAGCACTGGGATGTTCTCCCTGCTGTTCTTCAAATATGAACTTTCAGGTTCTAGAAGCTGTTTCTAGCCAGACCTGCTGAGTGATCCACATTCTCCTTTGAAAGGGACCCTGCTGTTTTGGGGAGGGCAGGGGGTGGGGAGGGAGAGATTCCCATCACATTTCTTTCCTGAGCGCAAGGAGCTAATGCCAAGGGTGCCCTTACTGATTCAAGTGGCACGGTTGTGCCAGCAAGGCTACAGCTGCTGGAGCAGGTAAGGACTATTTATAAAAGTCTATGCAGAGGGGTGGGTTGCAGCTGGGGCCTCTGGGTAATGAAAGGAATGGGGCTTTTGTGTGTGTGTATACCTGTAGGGAATAAAAGGGACGCAGGTGGCGCTGTGGGTTAAACCACAGAGCCTAGGGCTTGCCGCTCAGAAGGTCGGCGGTTCGAATCCCCACAACGGGATGAGCTCCCGTTGTTTGGTCCCTCCTCCTGCCAACCTAGCAGTTCAAAAGCACGTCAAAGTGCAAGTAGGTAAATAGGTACCGCTCTGGCGGAAAGGTAAACAGCGTTTCCGTGTGCTGCTCTGGTTCTCCAGAAGCGGTTTAGTCATGCTGGCCACATGACCCGGAAGCTCCCTCGGCCAATAAAGCAAGATGAGTGCCACAACCACAGAGTCATCTGCAACTGGACCTAACGGTCAGGGGTCCCTTTACCTTTACCTATACCTGTAGATGTCCCAAATTTGCCCACCCTCCTTGCCAGTAAAGGCAAAGTCCAGTCCTTCCCAAACATTATAGAACATGAAACGTTTAATTTCAGCGTTGAGGGCTCAAGCCCTACGTTGGGTGAGATTGAATTCCTAGACAGGGTTTTGTTTTATATGTGTGTTTAAACAAAAGAACATTTCCCCAGTATTTCCATATTAGTGTGAAATACAAGACTAATCAATTTGCAGCTAAGGGAAAGCTAGAAGCAGCTTGGTGAGATGTGTAATTGTTCTTGCAGGGAAGGAACAGAGATTCCACACACACCCCCAAACTGTAAATGGAACTATTTTGCACCTTATTAAAGAAGAATGTTTGCAAAAGTTGGGGTGAGAGAGGGGACACGTGGCTTCCTTAGAGTGCTTTGCAATAGCTCACCATATCCTATACATGAAACGAAACGGATCGGGGACCTGTGATTGAATTGACTTGACCTCCCATAATTTCTAACCATTGAGCATGATGGCTGGGACTGATTGGGGTTTGGGGTGCAGCAACATCTGGAGGGCAACATCTCGAAGGCAACAGGTTGGCTAGCTCTTGTGTTTCTGTATGGATCACAAATTGGGAGCGGATGCTAAGCCTGGATGCAACAGCAGGGGGCAACAGCGCTGCAGTAGTGGATGGGTGTTTACAAAAGCTGAGCAACAGTTTGTGTGTTTGCAATTAAGAGCCCAGTTTTATGATGCACAAAGGCTATCGTGTTCCTTGCTGGGTTTTAAAGTTGCAGTATTGTTGCTGTTTTTTGGAAGTGCCACATAAACACAAATAGGGCCCTGCTGAGCTTTGTTGCTTTGTGTGACGCACGCTCACCAAGTCTGCTGTGAATCAGCAGCAAATGGATTGCAATTCTCTTTGTTTTGTTTTGTTTTTATTTAAAGTCAATTCTCTTCATTTTGAGCAGCAAATTAAAATAGAGGGAACGGCTTACAGGACTGTATGATTTGTGCTAAATTCCCAAAATGAAAACAAACAAAAACATTTAAGGAAACGGAGGAAAATAATCAACTGCATGAAAGCAAAAGGAAGCTACCACCATTAACGAAATATCAGGCAGCTTAAAAATATGTGCTCTGCGGGTTGCCTCCCACTAAGTTGGCAGCAGCGGGAGCTTTTCCCCCTAAGCCGAAGGAAGGGAGGTCCCAGGACATAGCCAAAGTCACAGTGGGCTTCATTGGCACTTTTTAAAAGTTAAAATGAGCAGCTTGATTTGGGCTCTGCAACCACCCAGTTGCCAATTCAGCATGTCTTGCCACAGGGACGTGGGTGGCGCTGTGGGTTAAACCACAGAGCCTAGGATTTGCCAATCAGAAGGTCGGTGGTTCAGATCCCTGTGACGGGGTGAGCTCCCGTTGCTCGGTCCCTGCTCCTGCCAACCTAGCAGTTCGAAAGCACGTCAAAGTGCAAGTAGATAAATAAGTACCGCTCTGGCGGGAAGGTAAATGGTGTTTCCGTGTGCGGCTCTGGTTCGCTAGAAGCGGCTTAGTAATGCTGGCCACATGACCCGGAAGCTGTACACCAGCTCCCTCGGCCAATAAAGCAAGATGAGCGCCGCAACCCCAGAGTCGGCCACGACTGGATCCTAATGGTCAGGGGTCCCTTTACCTTTACTTTATGTCTTGCCACTTCTGAACCTCTCTTTCCACAAAGCAAAGTATGCTCATCTGTTTGGGTGCACCAAACCAAGTGGTGATTTATCACATCGTATAAATCTTCACACAGAATTCTGCATGGAATTCAGTTCCACTTCAGTGTAATAACATACCTACATACATACCTACACACATAATTTTATTTAGGAAATGTTCTTGTGTTTTATCTTGTATTTTATTCTGTGAACCGCCCTGGGATCTCTCGATGAAGGGCGGTATTTAAATTAAATAAATAACAATAATTTCCACAGTTCAAATCATGCTCAAGGTGACTGACAACATGAAAAACAATAACGTAACTGCAACATAACAAAAGTGGTCATAATAAATAAAATATTAAAGGATATACAGCCAAACGGAACAATTTCCACATAAATCACAGCAAGAGTGAAAATAAAGATGCAAAAAACCAACAGCAACCCCCCCCCCCGAACAACACCCCAGCCCAAGAGCATGTAACGAGCTGTACTAGTAGGGGCAATGCAGATTAAAAATATATATGGGGGCTTTTGATCCCATTTAGAGCAGGTGTAGAGTATTGAGTGCTT